CTGATTATGTAGATACTTCCAATTGTGAATCGTGTAATAGTTCTTCTCTGTGTGAAATTTGTGCTGAGATTTCTAATTATTTGAATGCAAATTCTACTACTTTCAACGTTGATGAACCTGAAAATTCCATAGGGTGGGAATGTGATGTACTGAGAACATTCTGAGAAGCTCCCGGTCATTATTTCCACCAAGCTTGAAGGCGATCAAGAGAAGATATTATTGGAAGTAATTAAAAGGCACAAGAGAGCTATTGGATGGACTTTAGCTGACATTCATGGTATTAGCCCTCTCCTGTGCATGCACAAAATTCTGTTGAAAGGGGGGACTAAACTAGTGAAGCAACTTCAGAGGAAAAGAAAGAGAAAGAGGAAGAGGAAGAGGAAAAGGAAGCCACAACTCCAAGAACTAGAAGCGCTGCACTTAGGAGCATATGAAGACTCAAGAACCTACAAGGAGAGAACCAAGCAGTATCATGATAAATTGATAGGTAGAGGAGAGTCCTGTGTAGGTCAAAAGATGCTTCTATTCAACTCATGTCTCAAGTTCATGACTGGAAGGCTGCATTCCAGTGAATGGACATCGCCTGAAGCATTTTTTTTGGAGAACTCAGTTCCCTTGGAGGAGGTTGAAGAGGTGGATGTGTACTCCCCCATCATTTCCTTCAACCAAGACCCCTGTCATGAGTAAATTACTTTGCACGTCAAGCTAGTGACGTTAAAGAAGCGCTTTGTGAGAGGCAACTCACACGTGAATAAGGAATTTTGTTCTTTTCCTTTGCATTCTTTCAATTGAGTTTTTGTTCTTATTTGTTTTCATTTGTAGATAGATTTCTAATATAATTCAATTTTGTGTAAATAATTTTCTGTGGACTTAGAATTTTTGCAGGGATTGTGGCAGCAACAAACACTTTGGGTACTCATTCATGCTTGGTACAATTTGTTTTTCGTGAGAGTGGTCACTTTCATAGGCCATAGTGGTCACTTTGGCTCAAGGTAACATGTTTCTCTCTGTAGTTCCCACTTTTAAGAGTGAAAGTGGCTACTTTGACACCTAGGAGGTCAGTAGTTTGCGCGTGGACACTTTCTAGTCCAATAGTAGCCACGCACAATTCACTTTGCATTTTGGGGCTCACTATAGTTACCACTTTCTTCGTTGAAAGTAGCCACGCGCATATGCTCACAAAGAGGAACTCTCTGAAGTTCCCACTTTGAAGCCCCATAGTAGCCACGCGCAAACTCACTTTGAATTTTGGCTTACTGTAGTTGCCACTTTCTCACTTGAAAGTGGCCACGCACACTTGTCCCACAAAATAACCCACTGGAGTTCCCACTTTGAAGCCCCAGAGTAACCACGCGCATATGCCCACACACACAACCTCACTGTAGTTGCCACTTTCTTCCTTGAAAGTGGCCACACGCACCCACTTTCACGTTCCAAATTTCACACACCCACTCACTCCTAGTCCCAAGACGCACCTTCCCTCACCACACCCAAGGCTTCAAGCAAGGTAATTCTCTCAATTTCTCTCCATTTATGGTTAGGGTTCTTAGATTCCCCAATTTGGGGCTTTTCAATTTTACTTGTTTTTTATTGAAATTGAGGTGTAATTCTTGTGTAATTGAGCATTCTTACATGAATTAGAGAGGGTGAGGTCCCTAACTTGCACCCAATGGGGTGTATTACTCCCATCCAATTGGGCGTTCCCACTTTTGCCCCCAATAGTGACCACGCCCACTTCCTCTTTGCCTTGACTCTCATTTGTTGTTTTTGTTATGCTCCCCTCCTTCATTTTTATGCTCTAAACATGCCAATAATGCTATTAAACTTCTTGTTCATGTGTGTTAGTGCCTAAAATTGGTTCGTGCCTATTTCCATTTAGTTTTGTCCCCTCCATTTTGCTGTTTTGCTTTTCAAATTCCATGCCATTTCACTTTTGCTGCACTTGATTCTCATGCATATTACAAAATTAACCATGATTGTTGCTCTTTCTGGGTGTTAAACATGCTTTTCGTGACTTTAATTTCACTAATTGCTGCATTATGGTCCTTGAGCTTAGAAGCCATATTCTGCTATACATTTGATTGCTATACCTAGTGACCGTATGCCACACCATTCTCTGTGCTTAATTGTTCTTGTCTGTACCATTTGAGCTCTATGCTTTGCCCACAGAATGCCTCTTTTTATGGAATGGAATGTGTTTGTAGGCTATGTACCATGATTGACATTGGTTTCCCTCTGAGTCATATGTAGCGCTATACACCCTTTTGCACACAAATTACTTAGGATGATATCAAATTATTTTGCAGCCCCTGGTTTGATTACTTGTTGTTGTGTGTTACCATGGAGGGTGACCCAATTTCCCTGCACTACCCATTCACATATTCTTTCTTTTCTGCAGATAATGTCAAGCAATCCTAGAAGGAACTTTGAATACATCATCTATAAAAAGGGGGGTGAACTCTTTGTCCCTTTTTTGCATTTATTTCTATCTTACTTTTCCTCATTTCATGCCTTCTCTTTTCTTTTTAATCTAGTCCTGTTTTATAATTTTGCTTTTATGCTCTGATTGCATTTCCCATCCAACCCATACTCATTCTCATTTTTGTACATATTTCCGTTCCTAACATTTTGAACATATTTTCTTGCGGGTGAATTGTGCTCACATTATTGCAATTCTTGTCACCTTTACCATGGTAGTGAATTGGGCCTCTTACTTCTTTTTCTGTGTGCATATTACATGTATTGTTGCATTCATCCTCTAGAACTTGCCTTGTTTCTTAATTGAATATGCATTGTGCAATTTTTCATCTAGATGATTGAGGCCTTCTTTCCACATACCCTTCCCCCCACCCTTGCACCTTGTAACATCCTATATTTTGATTTAAATAAAATGAGGTTTGTTAAAGTATAATTGGAATAGATTTGGATAGAATTTATAAAAAAAAAAAAATTAAAAAAAAGTGAACAGTAAAACCGCCTATGAACAGTGTCGATGAACAGTAAACCGCGTATGAACAGTGAAACCGCCTTTGTACAGTGACGATGACGTCATCAATGACATCAGCATGACGTCATGGCTGACGTCACATCCGCGTACAGTACGTGTACAATCCGTGTACAGTATGTGTGCATAGTGTTTCTGGCATGAACAGTTACCGCGAACAGTGTTTCCGGCATGAACAGTAAGGCGGTGAACAGTGTTTCCGGCGATGAACAGTAATTCGGGCGGTGAACAGTACTTTCGAAAATTTTCTATAAAAAGGGGGTTGCGGACGAAATTTTCATTTCTTCACTCCTATCCAAGGTTCTAAAGTCATATCTCGCCATTTTCTCCCATACTAAACCTCCTAAACTTAGATTTTTCTTCAGATCTGTGATTCTACGTTCAATCTAAAGGATTACAAGTAAGTTTTTCTAAGTTTGAAGTTAGATTTACCGTTCGTTTCTCTTCTTCTTCTTCTTCTTATAGATGTTCATGATGTTCTTAGGAAAACCTCCGTTCTAGAGTTAAACCTTCGGTTAAATCCTTGTAAAAGCTCTGTTATGAGGTAAGGGGGGGCTCTACTTTATCATTTCGTTATGTTTATTACTTGTATTCTCATAGATCTTGTCATGTATGTAATTATATGTGAAATAATTCCTGTTTTATGAGAAATAATCGGTGAAAAGTGAGAATAATTAGTTGTTTATGTGATTTTATGATGAGTACATGGTGAAATTGGGATATTATGTTCAAATAGGGCATGATAAGGTATATTGAGGATGGTTGATATGATTTTATGATTTTGTGATATAAAATATACGAAGAGATGGATGTTTCATGTTTGAATATATTGTGTTTTATGTAAAAATGATGTGTATTGTGAATGTGCCATGGTTTGATGTATATGATGAAAAGTATGTGGAAATATAATAAAAAATATGTGTAAACATGATAAATGGCATATGTGAACATGTGAATATGCTCAAAAGAGTATGAGATGGAAAAAGATATGATGTAAATAGTTACAGAGATACACTGGGGAAGTGGAAGATGGAGACGATATGGGATATCTTGGGGAAATGCAGGGTGGTGAGTGACATTCGGGATTGTGCACGAAATATTGTGTTCGAATGCACCACATGGCCACACACTCATTTCTCGACTTGACTCTTGACCATTACCTTTGCTAAGGGGCCGTCTATTGCATGCGTTGTATCCGTATTGCATTGGGCCATCCGGCGACTATTTACATGAATGTGTAAGACCTCGAGATAGAGGCATCGGATAACTGTGGCCACAGGGCGCGGTAAGCACGGATAAAAGTAAAAGAAATTGTGAATCTGTGTAATGTAATGCGCGTTGAGATGAGAATATACTTTATATAACCTTGTGATATGTAATGCCATGATGTTTTCGTTAATCGTGATAAGATGTGTTTTGTGAAGAATGTATATGTTATGTATGAGTGGTAGGGTAGAGACTCACCCTTACACAACATTTTTCAGGAAACCAGGACGAATAGTACCAGGCTCACAGTGCATGGATGGATGAGAACTGCTATAGGACTTAGTTATTTTGAGTTATATAATGAATATTTTCAGTTCTATAGCGTTCTTTTGAAAATGTTGTAAAACTACTATTCCTCTTTATTGCTGATGAAAACTTTAGAATCTTTGTTTTCCTGAATTAATGAAATTTTACTCTATGAACCTTATATCATTTCAATGTCTTTTCCTTATTAGAAAGTTTTGAAGGAAAATTTACTTTACCATATTAATTTTTATGAAAATTTATCATGTATTGAGGAAAGAAATATAAGGTGTTACAATTTTGGTATCAGGGCAGTTCATCCAGACCAGACTGGGGTATGGGACTAACATGTCTGTGTTGTGCAATAGATATACTAGAATATGAAATGATTATTTGCTAATATGACTTGTTAGATGTGAATTACGTGAACTAGATCTATCTATGATAGAATTAATAAGTGATTTGAGTTTATTGCAAGATTAGAGCTATGGCTGGTAGAGGTAGACCTGCTGGTGCTACAAATGAACTCCTGGAGCGCATGACCCAAGTCTTAGAGACTTTGGCACATAACCAGGAGGCTGAACCAGCCGAGTATAGAGGACTTTCTTCTTTTACTAGGCATAACCCTCCAAAATTTGAGAGAAAGTTTGATCCTGAGGGAGCTCAGAGATGGATAGCAGATGTGGAGAAGATTTTCCATGCCATGGGATGTAGAGAGGAGCATAAGGTAACTTATGCTACTTATATTCTGAGTGGAGAAGCTGAGGACTGGTCGAGATTTGCTAGTCAAACTCTACTGCAAGAAGATGGTTATATTCCTTGGGAGACATTTAAGGCAACTTTCTTGGGAAATTATTTCCCTAGAGATTTAAAGAAACAGAAGGCTAGGGAGTTCCTTGAGTTGAAACAAGGAAACATGTCTGTAGGTGAATATGCTGCTAAATTTCATGAATTGATGAAATACTGGCCTCACTATCAACATAATGATGGAGAGGAAGATCTATGTGCTCAATTTGAACATGGGCTTAGGCCAGATATTCGAGCTGCTGTTAGTGTATTCCAGCTAACAGATTTACCCACTCTAGTGAGTAAATGCAGAATATTTGAAGCCAATACTAAGGGTAAGACAGTGGATACCAGAATCGGTGGTCCTGTGAGGCAAGACCGAAGGCCTCCAAGATTTTCTAGAGGACCTTACTCTAGTCCAAATCAGTCTCAAGTGAAGGGGATTGTATCTCAAGAAGATAGTAGTGGTGGTTCAGGTTCTTTCAGAAGGCCACTAAAATGTTTCAAGTGTGGTGGACCTCATATTAAAAAGAATTGTCCTCAACTTCCACCAACATGTGACATTTGTGGGAAAATGGGACACTCTGCTAGTGTCTGTTGGTCTGCTCCACAGAAGAGCGGAAGCGTGAGTGTGGAACAAAGACCTAAATCTAGAGCAAGCACTGGAATAAAGCCAAATGTGAAAGGCAAAGTTTTTGCTATGAGTGGAGCTGAGGCTTCAAAATCAGAGGAGCTTATTAGAGGTAAATGTATCATAAAAGACCGACTTGTAGATGTGTTGTTTGATTCTGGTGCTACTCATTCCTTTATTTCTGTGGATTGTATGAGATGTCTAGAATTACCTATATCTGAATTGTTTTGTGATGTTATTGTATCTACTCCTACGGGTAAACCCGTAGCAACTTCTTCTGTGTGTTTAGGTTGTCCTGTGATGGTACATGGTAGGAGTTTTAGTATAGATTTGATTTGTTTACCTCTTTCCCAACTTGATGTAATTTTGGGAATGGATTGGTTGTCATCCAACCATGTTCTATTGGACTGTAAAGAGAAAGTCTTGATTTTTGGCACTAAAGTATCAGAAAGTGCCAAACTCTTAGGTCCAGATCCATTGGAAAATGTAATGAGTGCTAAGGCTTTCATGGTTCTATTTTCAATTGAGACTGAAAAGGAAATGAAGCCTGAGTATATCCCAGTGGTTAGAGATTTTTTAGAAGTTTTCCCTGATGATGTTACTGAATTGTCACCGGAAAGAGAGATTGAGTTTACTATTGATCTCATTCCGGGAGCAAATCCTATTTCTGTTGCACCATATAGGATGTCACCAGTGGAGTTGGCTGAGGTAAAGAAACAGGTAGAAGAATTATTGCAGAAAAGGTTTATAAGGCCAAGTGTGTCACCTTGGGGAGCACCTGTTCTTTTGGTGAAAAAGAAAGATAGGAGCATGAGGATGTGTGTTGATTATAGGCAATTGAATAAGGTAACAATAAAGAACAAGTATCCTATTCCTCGAATTGATGACTTGATGGATCAGTTACGAGGAGCTTCCGTATTTTTAAAGATTGATCTGCGATCTGGTTATCATCAGATCAGAGTCAAGAGTGAGGATATTCCCAAGACAGCGTTTAGAACCCGATATGGCCACTATGAGTATCTAGTTATGCCATTTGGTGTGACTAATGCTCCTGCAGTATTCATGGACTATATGAATAGAATTTTTCATGAGTTTTTGGATAAATTTGTTGTAGTATTTATAGATGATATTCTGATTTATTCTAAGACTCATGAAGAACATACAAAACACTTGAGAATTGTTTTGCAAATACTAAGAGAAAGACAGTTGTATGCAAAATTCTCTAAGTGTGAATTTTGGTTACCACAAATCCAATTTTTGGGACATGTGGTATCGAAAGATGGCATTATGGTGGATCCAGTAAAGGTGGAGGCAGTGGCTCAATGGCCAAGGCCTACTAATCCCACAGAAATTCGCAGTTTTCTGGGACTAGCTGGCTATTATAGGAAATTCATTGTAGGATTTTCTAAAATAGCTTTTCCTTTGACGAAGTCAACAAGAAAAGGAAAGGAGTTTGTGTGGAATGAAGAGTGTGAAGCTAGTTTCCAAAAGCTGAAAGAAAAAGTTAACATCTGCCCCTGTCTTAGTTTTGCCTAATCCAGAAAAGAAATTTGATGTGTATTGTGATGCATCTGGGCAAGGGCTTGGTTGTGTCTTGATGCAGGATGGAAGGGTAGTTGCTTATGCTTCGAGGCAGTTGCGTCCTCATGAAGTTAATTATCCTACTCATGACCTAGAATTAGCCTCGGTGGTTTTTGCCCTTAAGATATGGAGACATTATCTATTTGGGGCGAAATTTGAGGTATTTAGTGATCACAAGAGTTTGAAGTACTTGTTTGATCAGAAAGAGCTAAATATGAGGCAGAGAAGGTGGATGGAATTTCTGAAGGATTATGATTTTACATTGTCTTATCATCCTGGGAAGGCAAATGTGGTTGCTGATGCTTTAAGTAGGAAGTCTTTGCATATGGCAAGTATGATGGTGAAAGAATTTGAGTTGATTGAGAAGTTTCGAGATATGAATTTGGCAGTAGAGGTGCGACCTCAGAGTTTGTATCTTGGGACTTTGATAATCAACAATGATTTCTTAGTTAGGGTTCGTGATGCCCAACAAGAAGATATGTTCTTGCAAGAAATGATGAGGCAGAGGGGTGAAGGAAAGGATTTGGAGTTCCATTGTGATGCAAATGGATTGATTAAGTTCAAAAACCGTGTATGTATTCCTTCCAATAATGAGCTTAAGCAGATGATACTTGAGGAGGCGCATAAAAGCAGAATGAGTTTTCATCCTGGTGCGACAAAAATGTATCAAGATCTTCGTAAGAATTTTTGGTGGAATAGAATGAAGAAGGATGTGGCTGAGTATGTAGCAAAGTGTTTAACTTGTCAAAAGGCGAAGGTAGAACATCAACGTTCACCTGGGATGTTGCAGCCATTAGAAATTCCTGAGTGGAAGTGGGATAGTATTTCTATGGATTTTGTGTCTGGTTTGCCAAGAACCAAGAGTAATCATGATGCAATTTGGGTGATAGTAGATAGATTGACTAAAGCAGCTCATTTTATTTCCATTAATATGAAGTACAAGTTGGAGAAGCTAGCAGATATGTATGTGAGAGAGATAGTCAGATTGCATGGAGTGCCAACCAATGTTATGTCAGATAGAGATCCAAGGTTTACATCGAGATTTTGGGAGAGTCTGCAAAAAGCCTTGGGTACTAAGTTAAAACTTAGTTCAGCTTATCATCCACAAACTGATGGTCAGACTGAAAGAACAATACAGTCCTTGGAGGATTTGTTAAGAGCTTGTGTGATGGAACAACAAGGAACTTGGGAGGAATGTCTACCCTTGGTGGAATTCACGTATAATAACAGTTATCATGCAAGCATTGGAATGGCTCCATTTGAGGCTCTGTATGGAAGAAAGTGTAGAACCCCTTTATGTTGGTATGAAACTGGAGAGGCAATCCTATATGCGCCAGATATGGTTCAGAAGCAACATGAGCAAATCAAATTGATCAGAGAAAAGATGAAAATAGCACAAGATAGGCAAAGGAGTTACTATGATAAGAGGAGAAAACCTTTGGAGTTTCAGGTGAGTGATCATGTGTTTTTGAAAGTTTCACCTGTAACTGGAGTTGGAAGAGCTTTAAAATCCAAGAAGTTATCTCCTAAGTTTATTGGGCCATTTGAAGTGCTAAGTAAAGTTGGTCCTGTTGCTTATGAAATTGCTTTGCCTCCAAATCTCTCAAACTTGCATCCTGTATTTCATGTATCTCAGCTTAGGAAATATATTCCTGACCCTACTCATGTTATAGAACTTGATCCTGTTCAAGTGAGAGAGAATTTGTCCTATGATGTACAACTGGTGAAAATTATTGATCATCGTGTTAAGAAATTAAGGGATAAGGATATTTCATTAGTTAAAGTAGTATGGAGTACTAGTGATGAGGGAGATGCTACATGGGAAACTGAGAATAAGATGAGGGAATTATATCCTGATCTTTTTGTAACTTAGCGAATTTCGGGGACGAAATTCCTTAAAGGAGGGGAGAATTGTAACATCCTATATTTTGATTTAAATAAAATGAGGTTTGTTAAAGTATAATTGGAATAGATTTGGATAGAATTTATAAATAATAAAAAAAAAAAAAGTGAACAGTAAAACCGCCTATGAACAGTGTCGATGAACAGTAAACCGCGTATGAACAGTGAAACCGCCTTTGTACAGTGACGATGACGTCATGGCTGACGTCACATCCGCGTACAGTACGCATACAATCCGTGTACAGTACGTGCGCACAGTGTTTCCGGCATGAACAGTAAGGCGGTGAACAGTACCTTAAAAAATTTTCTATAAAAAGGGGGTTGCGGACGAAATTTTCATTTCTTCACTCCTATCCAAGGTTCTCAAAGGTTCTAAAGTCATATCTCGCCATTTTCTCCCATACTAAACCTCCTAAACTTAGATTTTTCTTCAGATCTGTGATTCTACGTTCGATCTAAAGGATTACAAGTAAGTTTTTCTAAGTTTGAAGTTAGATTTACTGTTCGTTTCTCTTCTTCTTCTTCTTCTTATAGATGTTCATGATGTTCTTAGGAAAACCTCCGTTCTAGAGTTCAACCTTCGGTTAAATCCTTGTAAAAGCTCTGTTTTGAGGTAAGGGGGGCTCTACTTTATCATTTCGTTATGTTTATTACTTGTATTCTCATAGATCTTGTCATGTATGTAATTATATGTGAAATAATCCCTGTTTTATGAGAAATAATCGGTGAAAAGTGAGAATAATTAGTTGTTTATGTGATTTTATGATGAGTACATGGTGAAATTGGGATATTATGTTCAAATAGGGCATGATAAGGTATATTGAGGATGGTTGATATGATTTTATGATTTTGTGATATAAAATATACGAAGAGATGGATGTTTCATGTTTGAATATATTGTGTTTTATGTAAAAATGATGTGTATTGTGAATGTGCCATGGTTTGATGTATATGATGAAAAGTATGTGGAAATATAATGAAAAATATGTGTAAACATGATAAATGGCATATGTGAACATGTGAATATGCTCAAAAGAGTATGAGATGGAAAAAGATATGATGTAAATAGTTACAGAGATACACTGGGGAAGTGGAAGATGGAGACGATATGGGATATCTTGGGGAAATGCAGGGTGGTGAGTGACATTCGGGATTGTGCACGAAATATTGTGTTCGAATGCACCACATGGCCACACACTCATTTCTCGACTTGACTCCTGACCATTACCTTTGCTAAGGGGCCGTCTATTGCATGCGTTGTATCCGTATTGCATTGGGCCATCCGGCGACTATTTACATGAATGTGTAAGACCTCGAGATAGAGGCATCGGATAACTGTGGCCCATCCATATGGAGGGCTAAACTTTCTTGTAATTCCTAGTCAATGCACATGAATCTTGAATTCTTGGGGTTAATTGCAATTCAAATCTTTCTTTCCTTGAATTTATAACCCCAATCTCTGAATGAAATGGAATTTGCACGAAGGGAACATTGCTTAATGAACCCTAATTTACCTAACGAAATTTTAAATCAAAATTGCTTAATTTTGATTAATCCTTGAGGTTGCTTAATCTTAGGGATAGAGATTGGAGCCCATTAAGATGCTTAATTTTAATTGGGATGTTAAAGTTAGTCTTCGCTTGTTAGATTAACTTAATTCAAGGAGAAGAAAGGGGATTATTGAATCATTTGAAAGAATAATGATGGAACTCATTGCTTGACTAGGGATTACTCATTTTAATTGATTGAATTTCATTAAATTTACATTTCGTTCTTGATTAAAATCTGGAAATTGACAAACCTCACCCCAATTTACTTGCTTTAAAATACATGTTTACACTTGTTCGATGTATGTTCCCAACCAAAAATTCCTTGGAGACGACCTAGGATAACACCCTAGTACTGCATTCATTTCTTTGCATATTTGATGAGGATTAACGACAA